ACATCTCAAGGACATGCTCTGCATTGCGGGACTGAACTCTCACAGCTTGCTGAAAACTTGTGGCCAAGTCAACCATGCCCAGGATCATGTGGTTGGAGCCGGTCAGATCGCGGACATACACTATGTCCAGTTGCACACGTTCTCCATACTGACCAAGAAAGTGTGGGACCGAGGCTGGTCGTGGCGCATCGGGCTTGCGAGTTCGTTGACATGAACCACAAACCATGTGCTCGATTGCAGTCAAAGTTGCTGCGTTCACTGAGCCGTGGGCTGAGAGGAAGCGGATGAGCTCCTTCTTGTTGGCGTGACCGGTGTTCAGGCGCAAGCGAGCCACGGATGCTTTGACAGCTGATGCGAGCTCTTTGGGCGCTCCTGGGAAGGTCACGTCAGTCCTTAGGCCAGGAACTGGTAGTTGGGGATCTCCTTGGTCGCCGGGATCGGGTTCTCCAGAAGTTTGTTCTTGGCGAGCTGGTAGGTCTTCGTCCACCAGTCCGTAGAAGAAAATGGCTGCACTCACCACTTTACTGAACCTCTGCTTGCAAAACTCGATCACGGCCAAATCTTCAGCTTCTAAAACCAGGCTCTCGTCAGCATGTAGTAGAGCGGCACCACGGTGAGTGTAAGGGATGTCTCGGGGCATGCGTCTGGTCATAGGAGTCGAAGCTATCTGCACTCTTGTAAGCTCCGTGGTACCAGGGACTCCACACGCTTGAAAAGAGCTTGTCCTGGTTGTAGGACCAAGGAGCGCACAGTTCCGCCAGTGAAGGTGTTCCTGACTTCGTTCAGGAGTTGTCTCCAGGCATCATGGTCGTCCACAGGTTGGGCAAAGCTAGCAAACACCTGTGAAGTTTCATCAAAACGCCAGGAGAAAGAAGTTGCGCTGTTTTTCGTAGAGCTCGAAGGATTGCATGCACCAAGTCATCAGGGTAGACCTGGGACGAAGTCACATTGGCTCCTTCGAGTGGTTTGCAAACTTGTCTTTCCTGAGGTGATAAGCGCCTGTCCAAGGCTCTTGCAATCTTGGGGCAGTTGAGCAGGAAGCCGTAGGTCTTGATGATGGGAAACCCGTCCAAATCAACGGCGCCAAATGCGCCGACAAACTCGGCGTTGTCCACCTTATAGAGCTCTTTCGCACAAGCTTCTTGCCAAAGACGACTCAACCTTCTTGTCGCACAGGTCCTTCCCATCTGCAAGCTCATATGGCTCCAAGGCGTTGAGTCCATACTTCTTAGCGAAGAGCGTGGCCTTGGCTGAACCAGCGAAGAGCTCGAAGACGTCCACATAGTGTGGCTTGCTCTTCTCGGAGGGTATGTCGTTGACAACCAACACCTCAGGCCAAAGTGCTTTGGTGGCTTTCTTCACTTCTCCCACCAATCGCTTTCGCTTCCCGGGGGCCAGCTGTAGATGCTGCCCGTCTCCTCCAAATCTGGTGCCTCCAGATCGATGGATGCCACACCGCAGTCCTGCATCTGGCTTGCTGGCTTCATGTGTCCTGCCGCTGAAGAGGTCATCGAGGGTGGCCTTGACCTTGGTAAACCAGTCTTGCTCATGGAACCTGCCACCGTAGTTGCCATCGACATTCCAGGGGCCATCGAAGCTGGCTGCATCGGTCCTGCAGTCATCATGGGAGCCGTTGCCTTTGGGCACAGAGCCTGAAGAGGTAGAGGAAGTGGAAGATGCTCGTAGCCTGGTGGTGGCAGCTGAAGGAACGTCTCTCCCGTGTACCCTGGAGGCTTGATGGAACCATCCACCGTCGTCAAGAAAGACGGTAGCGGCAGTGACAACTTGGAGGAGGAGCCACGCTGTTTCCAACCGCGGCCGTCCCACTTCCAGCGTGCCATGCATGCCGTGCACGTTGCAAAGCTTCCGTGCCGGTTGCCGTGTCGCTTGAACGTTGGGTATGGGCACTCGGTCTGGTACTTGACGTGGTAGGCCTTGGCTGGAGTACTGCTTGACGCCGCTGCCGATGATGCTGTCTTTGGTCTGGCAGCTGTGGACGCTTTGGCGCGTCTCTGAGGCATCTTCTCCTTCTTCTTGGGGTCGTCCGTGGTCTCGTCCTTGTCCGTGATGTTCTTGTAGCCCTTGGCGCTCAACACCCCCAGCCGCTTGGCTTGGTACACATGCACCACCGCTGCGCGAGCCAGGTGATGGAGCCGCCGGCATAGATGCTTCCAGCGCTGCCGCAACACCGGGTCGTAGACCTGTTCCATGTGAAGCGGAAGGTGACTGGAGGATGTCGTTGTCGAGCGGGCTTGAGAGGAAAGAATCCGGTCGCGCATCTGCCTTCAATTGGCAAACATGTGCAATCTCTGGATCTGTGAAGCCGCTCTCAAACAACTTGCTCCAAATGGACAAACGATGCGGACGTGGTGGAAAAACACAAATCTCAACTGCAAGGTGGCCACAAACACGTTTCAAAGGACATACTTCCAAGCAAGGGGATCTCGGAGGGCAACACGTTCACACCGAAACTCAAACAACGCTGCTCCAAACCGGCTGGGATCCAAGCTTTCTGGGTGGAGACCACTGGTTGACCTGATCCAAATTGAAAATGTTCATTGCTCTCTTCATAGAAAACCTTGAGGGAAAACTCTTTCAACAACTTCTCGTGACCATCCATCCACATTTGACCACAGCATGCTCTCTGGCAGGCGGTATCCATAATCATGTACCCGAAGGAGTCCTGAAATGATGTGGTCAAACATGAGAAGATGGGCACAGTGCAGACCATGGCGAAGTGGTGGTTGGGCGCAGCGTCGTCGGGGGTGTATTCGATGGTGGAATCAAAACCGGTGTTGTGGAAGACGGTCATCACCTTTTTGGCGTCGACGGCTCCACGGTCGTCACGGCCTTTGTGGCCTTTGCCTTTCCCCTTAGGGGCAGCAGAAGACGAACCACTCTGGTTCTGATTGAGTGGACATTCATCATCATTGGCCCAGTGGCCTTTGTTGCCACAGCCAGCGCAGATTGAATTGCGCTTCTTGTCAGCCAAGCTTCGTTTTGGCTGGCCAGAAAATTTTCTCCCCTGAGTCACTGCTGCTAGCTTTCGAGCTGTGACGGCGGTGAGCTTTTCAGCCAAGTCATTCAAACCAAGGTCTTCTCCAGAGGGATCTTGCTCACCCAGCTCGTCGTCATCGCCAGGTACTTCATCCTGACCTTCTTGAGGCAAATCATCGCCTTCAGGGTCATCATTCGGCTCGGGCACTTCTTCCACACTGTCCAAGGCCTCAGTCTGAAAGACTCGTCGTGAGCCTTTGAAGCCTTTGCCTTTGCCTCCAAAGCCGCCTGAAGATGTACTCGTGGAGGAGGACGAAGTAGAACCTTTTGCCGCACCTTTCTGTTGGTACGGCGCGGTTGAAGCATCTCGACCAGCCACCGGTGGTGGGGGTTTATGCTCTGGATACTGGATCATCAAGGCAGCCCTGATGGCATCGAAGGACAACGATTGGGAAGAGCCGACAAGTATCAGCCGTTGCTGGTCTAAACTCAAGCGGGCTCTGTCCAAAAGTCTCGAGCCGCGACTTTCGTCGTCGTATGTCAATGACACATCTATTCCGACCGCTCGGAGAGATGCTTCAGTCCTCCGGTAGCGGTTGCAGTAGGAGCGCAAGCTCTCCGCCGGCAGGCCCCCCAAAGTCTCATACTCAAAGAGGTATTGCCTCTTAATGTACACGCTCTTTTGTTGGAATGAGGCCCGGAGGTGCTGCAGGATCGTATCGACACCTTGCCGGTCGTAGATAGCTTCAGCTTCAAGAAATTCCAACTCCTGCTCAGCCTCTCCTCTAAGAGAGTTGTACAAGCTCAAGCCAATCTCCTTGTCGGTCATGAAGTGACGGGCATGCATCTGCCACAGTCGAACCTTCTTCTCGTACTTCTCGTGGGCACGGATGTCCTTGACATCGTAGGACCATGCAGGAGGCGTCGGCGCAGCGCCGCCACGGAACTTCACGCCCCGAGAGGGGCCCATGTTGCTTGTCCAAGACGGGGCAGAAGAGTCGTTACCACGGCCCCGACCTCGACGCTCAAGCAAATCAGCCAAGCGCTCCAAGGGTCATTTGGTGGAGGGAGTGCATGTGGTCCTCCAAACTCTTGTCTCTCAGGGCCATCACCAGCATTGCGACGGTCACCATGAGGGCCAGGTCGTCCGGGTCCGTCAGGTTGTCCGGCAGGTTGAGCTCGGTCGGAAGGCATCCTTAGTGGTGTCCTGAGCGAGGTCACTGGTGTCACCTCAACAGCGGGGTCATGAGTCAGTGTCTCTGACTCAGCTTGCTCTTCACCATAGCCTTCTCCTTCTTCGGGATCGAAATCAGGTTCAGGGTCAGGGGGACCGTGTCTTCGTCGTCTGGGGCGTCGTCGACGTCGATGCGAAAGTTGAGACTCCGGCGCCAGAGACTCCGGCGTCCCGTGGGGAATGTACATCCACGTGCCAGTAGCGCCCTCATGTCGAGTGGGCTGTCGACTGTCAAAGAACTCAAAATCTCGGCATCGTGTGCAGCGCCAGGAGGAGACAACCAAGTCCCAAACTGAAGAGCTCGAGCCGCACCGTAGACAGGTCCAACTGCTTGAAGTCACCGCGGGTGGAGTAGACGGCCTCGACATCGGTCGTGAAGTAGTCGCGTCACCACCATCAACCGAACCACCTTCCTCGTCGTCAAAGAGGAAGGAGTAGTCGGACGCACGGGGTTCTTGGGCTCTATCATCAAGGTCCTCGAAGTCGAACATGGATCGTAGCTCCGCGTAACCAACTCGTGACCACGCGTGCGACCGAACGACCAAGGAGCAAAGAAGCTAACACAGCTTTTCCACGAAGGCCTAAAGTGCCATGGGGGTTGAAACAGCCGTAGACTCAAGGGATCCGCTGTTGGATCGTTAGGGCCGGTGCACGACATGTGGTGGATGAATGGTGCGGCGTGAAGCCAAAAGCACTGTTGGGTCCATCAGAAAAAAGTTCACACTTAGCACCTCAACATGTTAGCAACACCTGAAACCAGACAGGCAGCTTGTCAAACTCAGCGAGGAGATGTTCGCAATGGGTCTCATCGAGGTGCGGTAAGCCATGTTTGGCCAAGACTTGACAGAGCTCGGGCACCGAAATCTTGCCACTGGAATCCTTGTCAAGGATGCGAAAGGCCTCCCAGCAATACTGCTCCTTTAAATATTGCGAAGGCTGTACATTCGCCGACAGCCAATTGCTATAGTCCATTTCTTTAAATTCACCCGCTAAGGTTCGACAAATGCTGTCCGCATCCTGGCGATGGGTGGACTTTGAGATGGTCGTGTGAAGAGTGTCGAGTGGAATCGTGCCTTCACCACGTGTATCCAGGCATTCAAAGGTTTCCCGCAAGTGCTGAATATCAGAGTCGTCGATCACATGGACAATGGTGTTCAAAGCCGCTTTTTTGAGAGGATTCATCTCCGAAAAGTTTTGCAAATTGGCTGCAATCTCATCCGATGCACAACTGGCTGCATGGGAAATGCTTTTGGCGCAAAGTCGCAACCATTGGCTCTCCAACACCTGTTGGGCTGAAGGTCGGCGAGCTTCCAGTAATTCACACATCTCTTCCACCAGTTCGATCAAGGCATGTGATGTCTCGGGCTCGAGACCTTCGACCTCTCGGTCTTCGCTCGAGCTCAGCGAGCTTGCGAGCAAACCTTGGAGGCCCTTTCGGGCTTCTCGGAGAATCACTTGAACCCTGTCCCCCTGGAAGGGTGGCCGGCCACAAACCATGTAATAAAGTGTGACGCCACTACTCCAAATGTCGCATTTCTCTGTATAGCTTCCTGAAAATACTTCGGGTGCAACGTAGATGGGTGTGCCACAAATAGTTTTGAGTTGATTGTTCTGACTAAATTCGCGGGCAAAGCCGAAATCAATAAGTTTCACAGTTGCCTGGTCCACCGACATGTCCTTCTCCTTCAGCACCAAATTCTCTGGCTTGATGTCGCGGTGAACTACATGGCAATGTTGATGCATGTAGATCAGGGCACAAATCAACTGCCGAAAAAGATGAGCAGCATGACTTTGAGGCAGAGCACCAGCACCCTTGATCAAGTGCAGAACATTACCTCCCTCGCAGTGTTCCATCACGATCTTGATAAATTGTTCATCTTCAAAAGTTTCAAACAGTCGAGCAATATGTGGATGGTCCATCGAGGCCTGCAGTTTTACTTCCTCTTGCAGCAACTTCAAGTTGGACACGGAACTCTTGCGAATCTCTTTCATCACACATGCAGCTCCTGTTTTTCGATTTGTGAGGAGTTTCACAGTGCTAAAACCACCCTTGCCCAATGTGCGTTTCCTCACTCTGAAAGCCTCTTGCACTTTGTGCCCAGGAGTATTCACCAGAATGTCTGGACAATCTTGAACAGTTATAGCTCTAGGTCTTCGTCTCCACAACAGTGTCCATCCATCACAGCAATCATCGCACATGTTCACAGGCTATGCCATTCTGCGTCTTCAATGCCCAAACATTCGCAAGTAGTACATTATTGTTTCATCCAAGATGCAACCTTCAAAAGGAAGAAATATGCATTCTCAAGCTATCTTACTTCATTTACCCCTCCAGAAAATTGCATTATTTCCCCTGACTCCACAATGAGCAAATGTATCCGGAGGTGCTTGGTCCTGAAGGTGATACTTGATGGTTTGGACTCAAGCTTCAAAGCAGGACAGGCTTGATCTAGATATGGCTCAAAATGGGTACACTCAAAACCCTGAGGGAAGAAGAGGTAGAAATCTCTAGTCCTCTGATGCTATGTTTGAGCCACACCTATCGTGGCAAGGAGCTTTTTGTGACTCCAGAATAAATCTTTGGCCCCCGCAACCGTTTCATGTGCGCTCCCTTTCTGTTAGGGTCTTTTGGGATCATCCTGGTTGTTGCACACCTACATGTTCGAACATGCAGCACTTCGAATGATCCACAGCTTGCACCATTAGCCTTTTTGGACTCTACTTTGGGATGTTGCTGAAGAGATCCTCGGTGAACAGTACTTCTCTGTCATCGAAACATCTGGAAAACAATGAAGTGACTCTGATCTACTGGCCTCTGGATTCCGAAGTCTAAACACAGGCCATGGAACATGCATTCTGACTACTTGACACCTGCCTTCGTGATACAATTGCTGAAGACCAAACAAACCTGACGAACCAAGAAAACAATCTTCGCAGTGGGTAGACCATATTGTGTTTATGCAATTGAAACTGTTTGACCACTCAGGCAGAGTCTCAACCCTCATTGAAAGCTAGGTCCTAGGTCAAAGGCATGGGTTGACCTGCAGACTAGATGGAGTGAGACAGATTTGCCCTGCTTTTGCATGGCAGTCAGTCTGCCCAAAATCTGAGACAAACTGCTGGAACTGAAACTAACAAGCGGGAATCAGGCAGTGCTACTCCATGCTCTGTATGGTGTGCCGCCCCTTTGCAGCCCTACCGATCCTGACATGAATCACAGAGTCACAATTTATAGAAGGCAAATTCTTAAACTGCTCTCCTCAAAAGCCACAATTCTGACACCCCCAGTATCGGCAAATGCTTGACATGACCTCTCCTCAGCACACGGAGAGTGGCTGTGGTACACTTCGTTCACTTCCCGGCGTGCGCTTAAGAACCTCACGAAACGAAGCTGGAAAATCAAAATCAGCCAAGAAGCGAATCGCAGAAACTCTCTCTCACCTATTGAGTCACCCACTCTCTTGGAGTCACCACAGTGGGCGTCACAGATCCTGGCGGCGTGACCTGGTGAAACAGCCCAATGGGGTTCAGAGGGGCCCTACAACAGGGCCCAACCGTGGGATGCTTCGCAAATCTGAGATCCTGGCGGATGGCGTTAAAGACCTGGCATTAAATACCCTTCAAAAGTGAACAAAGAAGGCGTGCTTGCAACAAAAAAGCAGCAGGATGGTTTCACATACGCTTCAAGCGAACTTCTGTCATGTCCGTTGTATTTTTCCCGGTGGCCAACACAAAAACTTCGACGTGTGATTGTTGGACAAGACGTGGTAGCCAAAGCAGTTAAGTTGAAACAGATTCAAAACCAATAGACCCGGCCCCCAGCTCCCCCAAGACTTTCACATGGAATAAACATGCATAAGTTGATCATCGCAGCTGATGACGAACCAGCGCAGGCTGAGTATTGGGCTCTGTCGCAGAGTTCATTGAGGACATGTCAAAGGCTGGCCGCCACTTCTCCTGTCGTCCAGGGCACCAGTGTGGAATTGAAGTCTTCAACGCGCACTCAAAGCCCGGACGGTCCAGAATCAAGTCTCTTTCGCACTGGGAGAACACGGCAAGATAGTGACTGGCGGAAACATTCACGAAGACATGTTGACTCCAGATGTGCCAACAAAGGGCAGGCAGACCAAATGAACTTGCGGGCTTCATCAATGTGCGGCTCAACCTTGGGATATCGAGGGACCCTCTAAGGACCCTAAAGACCCAAAAACATCTCAGCTTGGAAGATGTTAATTGCTTGTCATTGAGGCTCGGGCACACTCCTCTCCAGTATCTCCCCTGATTCATCGGCGCTTTAAACTCAATATCTAGATTCTAGATAGGCCATAGCAGCTCTTCAATGTTTGCACTTCGAGCATTGAACTGGAAATCACGGAGAAAGAAGACAGAACCAAACGACTGAGAGCAGCACAAAGTTGAGAGAAAAGGAACCAAAATCTCGTACTGCTCGTCTGAACTGGCGGCAACTTGCTTGGCATAGGGTAGACACTCTGAAAGCAAATGCTGGCTTGTACGCTTGAGTTAGCTACTGCAGGTCCAGCTAACAGCTTTTGCACAAGGTCGTGAGCAGTCGGTCTCTTTTTCAATGCCACTGCCTGAACTTCACCAAAAACTCAGCAAGTTGTTCTGTCACCTCCTGGACCTGCATCAGGCAAATACGCATCTACCCCATGGTAAAAGTATCCAATCGTCACCGATCGTTTAAGTTTGAGCAACCTTGTCAACAGAAGCAGCAAAGCTCAGCTCATCTTCAACTGCCTCTCTCGAGGGTGCAATGCACTGGAGAGCCAAGCATACAGAGAAGTGTACGTAAAATCACGCAGAAAGTCAAGTTTCACACCCCGCTGCTGGCAGGCTCTGTTCGTTGCAGACCTGCAAGAAGCATAGACCCCTTGCTTGGCTACACGTTGACTTTCAGCTGAGGTCCAGCTTCCTGTACTCTGCAGCACGGCAGCTTCAAATGTTGCTGCCTCGAACACATCTCAAAAGGGGACACGCTGGGTTTCTTGGCATTGAAAGAGCGACTCGACCCAGCTTCAGTTCCCGGCCGAATCCGCCACGCCAAAGCTGGGAATGTCCTCTGAAGTTGCTGTGCCGAGCATATAATGGTGATGCACTTGTTACTAGTAGCTTCTTGTTACTAGTAGTACCGCCAGGAGCCCCCCCTAGTAGCGTCCTTGCTCCTAGTAAGTAAGGCCAGACTTGTTACTAAGTAGCGATGCAATTGTTACTGCCTGGTGCTTTTACTTTCTCATATGACACCCCACAGAACATTGGAACACGGCCAGTATCTCCCCGATCCTTGAGAAACCAAACGTTGTGGTGAACGAGACTGGAGAACTAGGGTTCGCTTTTGCAGGAGAGCAAAAGGCCAGATGCATTGGACTACCGTATAGTATACCTAATGTTTGAGACGTTTACCTAATAATATGTGAGACCGAACCAGAAAAAAGTCATGAAAACGTATTGCACCACTACAACTACCACTACCACTACCCCACTACCAACCACTACGAACGACTACGACTACTACTACGACTACGACTACGAAGACTACAACTACTACGACGACTACTACCAGAACCGCCACCACTACTACCACCACTACTATGCTAGTGCTACTGCTACTGCCATTGTCATTCCGCGCAAGGCTCCTCTTCGTTTGCCATGCTCTCCGCCATCTCCGCCCCCGAAAGGTCCGGTCCCGAAGAACAATTCAAGCTTTCAGCGAAATGTTCAATGCCAAGGTGAAATGTTCAGCTGACCCCTGCAACCCCTCTCTACAAACATCTACAAGAAACATTCATGGGCTGCTCTTTGAAACATTATTGATCTGAAAATGCGCGTCATCGTACAGCAAAAATGTTCCAACAAAAAGCAAAACTAAACCAAGCACATTAAATTAAATATGTGCAAAGGTTGACTTGGCTTGGCTCAGGGGGAAATTGAAAAGAGTATGGGCGCCAGGGCGACGGGAATCTAATACCTTTTCAATATGAAACTGAAGAAGTCGGTGGCCGCCGGTGGCCTAGCAACCACTTTCAGAAATAGCTGGTCTTTGTGCTGGAGATGATCTTTCAAAGCTCAATCTCCAGGCACACCAAGCCAATCACTCCACTACTCTATACTCGATACATCTCAGTGCCAGTGCACCGAAAACCCTCTAAATGACACAGCGGATTGCCCGAGCACAGCTTGTCTCTCGCGCTCGATAGACATGGTCAATGCTCTCGCCCCTTCAGCCCAAACTGTTGAGTGGGGAAATCCAGCGTGGACACAGTAACAGCCGAGCGTGGACTCTCGGACCGGCCAATGTGCGCAGAGTCTGCAGATCCGTGTCAAAATTGAGATCCCAGGAGCACAAGAGATTGGGTGTTCCAGATCGTCTGATCAGAATCAACTAGAGCTGCTAGAGTAGCTGCTAGAGCTCTATCTTCATCTTTGCTTTCTTGGTTTGCTCACGACAACCGCGAAGCCAACCATCCGAAGAAACCAGGGCCACCTCTCGCATGGCGTCTGCACATCCAGCATCCAAACAGCCAGGAAATATCTCATGCAGCCAGCCTCACAAAACCAAAGACGAATGCACCTTAATGGGTTGCTATCTGGGCAAATATCATTTTTTTCGGGTTGCCCACATCGCCCAACAAGCCATAGCAACATCACATCACAACTATATAAAGGCCTTGCCTGAAATGGTCGTTGCTTTGCTGCTGGCGCTAAGATTGTTCACAGCGCTTTTGGTCCAAGCAAGCAAGGCCGAATCAAGGTCTGATTCTCTGACAAGATTGTGCCACTGCCTAGGGTACTTGCAGCTACCCTCTTAGCCTGCTGGGCATAGGCTCGCTAACGCCAGTTTAAGCAAATAAGAAAACACACGAGAAGTGCTGATTCAAAGTGATTGACAGTGCGTTGGGGTTCATAACAACCTTGCAAATCAAATCAGGATTCCTTTCAAGCGCCTCTGCCAATGTCGCTACTAAAGGCCTCCGCGCGAGCGCTTCGATCAGTCTACGCCCCACAACTTGCGGCCCTTGCAGCTCCTGTAGTGACTGTCGTGAGGTAGCTGAATATCTGTGCAAATGACGGTTGAAAGATTCTGCCACTTCCTGATCTTTCACTTTCTCATCCTGGCCATCTTCCTCATCTTGAAAATCAAGATCTGGATAAGCACTCAAGATCTTCGCGGTCAATACGTGTTGCGCCTCTTCCATCACAGGAGTTTCCTGAAAAATGGATCGTAAATGCTTGGGATTAAGCAAACTCACCAGCATGCCATGTGGGACCGCAGCCATGCCGTGATGGAAAATACTGGTTGCCACCGACTTTGGAGAGCTTCGCACTGTGTGAAACCAACCACTGGGTATCCACAGGATGTCCTGAAGTCATTGTCCCACAATTGTCTCAAACTCAAAAAACACTCTGTCTAGGACCTAGGAGTAGGCAAACTAGATTCGGCGTCGGTGATGACAACAACATCAACACAAAGCTAGAACTGTTGCAAAGTCTAGAAGCACCAGCTTCCACTTGAACGCGGAGCTTTGTCACCTGCTTGAAATCTTCGCACCTGAATGGAAAGGACAAGCGAGCAAGAAGCGACATCCAGTGTCAAATCACATTCATAAAGGCAGATTCATGCAAGTCCCCCAGCATAGAACAACATGTATCGTCATGAAACGATGTAGACGGCTGCGAAACACTTGTTGAAGGTATTTTGGAAAGCACCACACCAGGTTTCATCTGGCAACAAATGACAGTGTCTTCCTGCGTCTTCAGGTAGGACTTTTGGTTGGGTGTGATATGGACTATCATGCGTGCCCTGTCTGGACTAGCAACTGTGACTCTTGTTCATGACCAATTGTCTTGAAACTTCCTTCTAGGCGTAGCAGCAGGCTGCGGGCCTAAGAATCACAATACATGTCATGTATATTTACAAACAAAATCTTCGTGCCTTTAGAGTTGCTGGTCTTAATTCATGTCCTTTCCGACAATATGCCAATTATATAAGTGTATATGTATATACACTAACAGTATTCCATCTATGAGTCATGCAATGATTTCAAGCTTGCAAGTCTGATGACATGATCTATATAATATGTATATTAAAATTCATTTGGCTCTGTGTTTCAATCTACAAATTTCTTTAGCTGTAAAAGCACTGCGAGCTTTAGGAGCAGAAAACATCAACTTCATTCAAACATGGTTCTATTCTGTATATTAGTGAAAAGCAATGCCATGAACAAAGGATCAGTTTCATCTTCAGACATCGCGAGGCATCTCCACGCTCAGGGCAGTAAAAGTAGGAGCAGCTGCGTGTGGCTTCTGGAGGCTCAACACCATTTCAGTGGGGAAAGCTTGGACCCACCGGAGTATAGGCGATGGAAGCTTTGGGTGGAGGCAATACCCAACAAGACATGGGTCCAAAACAACGAGGCCCATACGTTTTCCATCGTTTTCCTTTTGGTGTTTCTACTAGAGGCAGCAGAGCATTTGACATTTGACCTTTTGACGGAGGAACAAGGAGACAAACAAATTTGGCTGAACTTGTTGATAAGCTTGGTCCGGCAGAATCAAAAGCTTGGTAGAGCAGAAAGAACAATAACATTCTCACAATCGTCAGGTTCTCAAAGAACAGATTGATTTGTCGAAGACAGCTGAATTGACAACGGATTCGAATGCATCGAGCTGACCAAATCATGACAAGCCTAGTCGTGATCATCGAAAAGCTTGAGGACTGTACGCAAAATGGTGTTTGCGTGGACACCATGACCAGGATATATTCCAGAGGGTGGCCGGAAAGTGTCACTCACCGATATTGTACATGTCAGCCGGAGCTTGATTCCAAATGCTAGTTAGCAATCGCTAGACGATACATCTCGGAGGGAGCTTTTCTAGAGGCAGATGTCAAGCAGGAAGTCCTTCCGAATCCTGTTGGAGAGCTTCCACGGGAGGGTTCCAGGTGTTGAAAAGGGATCCCTCCTGCAGATTCTTGGAAACATTTACGGGGCAAACAGCGCACCCCCATGAATGGCACTGTGAGTTTGACAAGGAAGCAATTGCAGCGGGGGGTGTTTGTAGCAAATTTGACAATTGCCTGTATTATTGCTATGTTGCAGTGGCTACGTCGAAGGAATTTTGGAGGCACATGTTGATGAGACCACCGCGGGCGGGGCAGGAGAAATACATCAGAAAGCCATCGTTCATTGAGAAGTTGAGAGATGGTTTTCCTTTCAGAAAGTGGAGGTGAACCCTTAAGACACCAATCTCTATACCATAAATATTGAAACCTTTGAGATCAACCCAAGAATATGCAGAGTTATGCAACCCATCAAACTGAGCAAGCAAAGTTCAGGAAACCATGGCTTCCAGCAAACCCACAGGAAGTTGCTGCACTCAAAGCAGTACATGGTCCGGTGCACTAAGTAGTCCAGACTTGTCAGTTCAGACAACTCAGCGATTTTCGACCTTCTCCAGGCCACTGAAAAAGTGCGACTTGCATGACAGCAATCAGACTTGACCATCACAGTTGCCTCAATCCCTCAAAAAGAGTTGACAGTGCGTGTTTGGTTAGATGCATCCAACAGTCATGGCCCCAAAGGCAATTACCATACCAGGAAAAGTCGGCAATGGCACAAGCGATTATGGCAAGAGCTCATGAAGCCGGACTGCAGCCAGAAGCAGGTGTGGCGCAACAAAAACGATGCTTCCAAACGCCTTCGTGAACCAGAGGTTTGGGAGCTTGAGGAGTAGGCAATCGCCTACCAGAGCAGCGAGCTCTTGAAAAACGTCAAGGCTGGAGCAGCGCTTTCCGGATTTGCATCCCAAGAATTAGATCCTGATTGATTTTCCCAGAATTGAGATCCTTTTGCCTGTATTTGCCGCTTTTCATGGCCTGACAGTGCAATGGATATATGCATTGATAAATATATAAAATCATTGATTTGTGGAAATAACCACGCCCATCAAATGGCAATAAATATTGCATTACCATCTTTATTGAAGCCAAAAGGGTCCAAGGACAAGAAGATCGTGATGTTGCCCCGAGTGATCAGTGTGGAAGACGTCTTCTCAAGGTCTCAAAGCAAGGCCAGAGCTATGCTGAGTTGATTGAGGACACCAAAATGAGTCCTTTTTGACCTGGGTGCACGAGCATGGTGCCGGAAAGGGCAGTGGATTTGAGGACTTATCCAGTTACCTCTCTGCACTAGGTGTCATGGGAAAGAAGAATCGCAGCCCTGAGCCGAACCAGACTTTCCTAGGAGGAAGCGAACGACAAGAACCGAAGATTGCTTGAGCTGCAAGGAAAGTGAATGGAGGAACTGATTTTTAAGTGCATGTCCAATGGATCATGGGACATCCATTATAAATCCTTGAAGATAGAAGTTGTTTAAGGAATGAAAAACAGTCATGAACACAGGATCAGGTTCACCTTCGGACATCGTGAGAATAGGAGCGGCTGCGTTTGTCTTTTGGCCACAGGGCTCCGGTTTTCACACATGTACATACGTAGGCAACTACAAAAAACTAAGGATACCAACGAATTGCAATCTGTCTGAGCAATGGACTCACTCATCCACCTAGGCTGTGCAGGAAATCGTGGAGAAATAGTGGCTTCTGAGAAGTCCGCCTCATCGAACATGAAGAAGTTTCCAGTCAACCTGTGGTTCTTTGGGTTATATAAATCATTGCGACACTGCCTTTGTCCTTGTAATAACATGGTCCATTGGAGCCACTTACGCCCAGAAATGCGGCAACACAAATCGAACACTGACGTTTTATATACATTAATGCTACATGAGTTGCTTTGCTGTCCTTTTTGTTTGCACGGTTCCGAAGGCAGTGCACTCGAAAAAATATAGAGTCACTACAGCCACTAGAGGCCTAACCCTTCTAAAGAGCGAAAACCCTGGGTTCGCCTGCGACCACAAGCCAGGTTTGCAGCATGCCATGGGGGGTATAAAATCACCTCGGTGGTTGGTTTGAAAGGACCAAAATTATATGTGTACAACTGTGTGTATATATATATTTTTTTGTGTGTGTGTGCCAAAAATTAAGCACCGGTAGAAAACGAAGGTACCAAAAAAAAAAACATATTATTATCTGCTTGGACAAGACTTCTTTTGACCCTTCCAGCATGACGTACAGGTTGTCAACGGCATCATAATGCAAACCAGACGTGTGGTTGGTCGAGCCACCCAACCAAAATAGCACTTTGTGCGCAACAATCTCAGAAAAACATTGCGGCAGGTGCCTTGCTATTTCAGACAAAAACGGGTCCAATGGAGAAAGCAAGGATTGCTGATGGATATACGATGCAAAAGTCCTGCTCACTGGATGTTCGCCTTTGAGGATCTTCTTGGCAACAGCCCATGTCACTGGAAGGGATGTTTGGTGCAAATTTGCATACGGTTTGAATGTGAAGGAGTTGGAAAGCTCGACACTGACGATTTCGTCCTCTGGCAGAACGGAATCCCAATGGAACGAAAATTTTTCTGCTGATTTGATCAGCAAAGGTTCAGCCGATGACACTCCATCCAAGTCCCGGAAGCCACACCAAGTCTTTGGTTGTGTTGTTTTGAAATCAATTTGTTTCACCTCCGCGAAGACCACATCATTTTCTCGAGTGTCTGCCCCAACACAAAGCAAAGCCACGCACACTCTGACAAAGGATGCCATGTAGTGTCCGGAAACCGGGAGCCAAACTGCGACACAAAAACTCAATTGAATCCACGCAACCACACACAACCAAATCTCTTGCCAAAAAAATGAAGAAGTTCATCGGCTGTTTTCAACGGGCGCCCATAGAAACGTTTTGAACAAAAAACAATTGGATCACAAGCCCAAATGCCAACATCACATCATAATGGTTTGTACGTGTAGTTCAGATTCACATGCGTTTTTGGCCGCCTCAATAACAATAAGTGTTTTGCACACAAACGGCATCATGACTGCCTTGACGCAAACTCACATGCATGTGATACCAACCATTGTTTCAGGCCCATGGATATTCCCCCCCAACGATCTTCATCTGGCGCTGAAATGTTTTTTGCATCATGAACATTCTACGACTTCGCGTTTATATTTGCAGAATTCATTTAACCTCATTGAAAACAGTCTGCGTAAAGTTCTCGCCTTTGTGTGTGTAGACCCCTTGCAGTCACAGAGGACCTTACTGCTGCTGCTGACGTGGTCTAACAAAGCTAGGCAGCAAAATGAAATGGTGGAGTTGGCCACTCCACTGTACCTCCCACCCGTTTCACTCAGACTTGCGTTTTGAGTTTGTGTCTTGTAAACTGGAAGCGCTGGCCTCAACCTGGCGCGATTTCCCACGTACTAGCAATGACCTCCAACCTCCTTGCTTGGTGCAGTTTTGAGTCCTTATGCAAACCACGAACCTACCAGCGTTGGCCTCCAACCTTGGGTTGAAGGCCTCTAACGTACTAGCGATGACCTCCAACCGTATCTCTTTGTGCAGTTTTGAATTCTTGCACGCGCCACCAACCTGCTAGCGACGGCCTCCTAACTTGGGGCGATGGCCTCCAACGCGCTAGCGATGACCTCTGTCTCTCTCTCTCTCCCTCTCTCTCTCTCTCTCTCTCTTTCTCTCTCTCACTCTCTCTCTCTCTCAGTCAGTCAGTCAGTCAGTCAGTCAGTCAGTCAGTGTCTCTCTGTCAGTCAGTCAGTCAGTGTCTGTCAGTGTCTGTCTCTGTCAGTGTCTGTCTCTGTCAGTGTCTGT